CAGCACTGTGAGGGTTGCTATGGGGAAATGAACTCCAGCTCAGCCAGACCCAATACAAGCAGGCAAACTAGCTCCCTAATAATGTATTTCAATACAACAAAAAGTATCATAAACTGGAGACTTTCACATGTACTATTTGGAAAAAAGCTATGCTGTAACACTAAATCTTCAGCAATAAATGAAGTTTCTGAAAGCCAAACGAGTAGCAAAGATCCAAGAGAATTTCTGTATCTACGTGATTTAACATTACTCTCACAAAGGACATTTTAATGTTCATCAATGAAAATGTAAACAAAACTAGAAATATTTACTGTTGTAGCAGACTGCAGTACATGACAATTATTTCAGTGTACTTTATGTGTTTTCTTTCAGCAAATAAAGAATAAGTTACAGATCAAATAGGTATTTTATCTTACTAAATATAATTACCTGAACTACAGAAGTAGGTGCTGTGACTCTATAGCTGCTTCAATTTGCTTAGTTGTGGTACATTGTATGGAGGACAGGAGCAGCTGTGTACATTACTGTATTTTTATAGATTCCCAACTTGTACTGAGCGAGAACTCCAAAAAAAAAAAAAACCAAACCAAAAAAACCAAACCAACCATAAAACCCACTACATGTATAAAAAACTTAAATGGAGCAACAGTTGCAGAGAACCTAGCAATCTCTCGGTTTTCCATGGGACTGAGTTACAAGATGTCTGGAAAAGTTGTAATGAAAAAAGTGACCTGTACTCATCTCTTAGCTGTCATTTGTAAATAAGTAAACTTAATATTTATCCTTTCCTTCTTTTGTGAGAGGTGACCTCAGAAGCTTCAGTAGTTCTACAGAATAACCTCCCTGCTATGGCTTTGACCTATCTTACTGCAATACTATTTTTAACATAATACAGCAAAGTATTTTATTTCAGTATGTTTTATTCCTATAGCAACAGGCTATTGCTCTATTCTAAATAGAGGAATATTATTCCCTTTCCCAGTCATATTTCTGAAGGGTTTCCAAATAAATTATAGATGCTCCTTTTGTTCTAGTGCTCCTGCTCCTCCCAGGACACCGGATTTGTCATGTTATGCAAGCATGCACATATTTTAGCACATACCCCTTAAAACCTATCTTGACCTTGGAATACACAAATAGTTATGTATACACAGAAGAGACAAATGGAAGAATGATTGGTGGAAAAAAAGAGCAACCAGCCCACATACATAAACTACCCTTTATTAGGCCAAATGAAAAAAAAAGGACCATGTCCAAGAAGCACATGAAAATATAGTTAATTGTGTTCAAGCATTAAGAATAGGATTGAAGCGTGCTGTGTTTGTTTTAGGGCAACTGGACATTCCCATGACTGCACCCATACTGCAGCAACAACGCAAAACTTTTGGCTGTGGTTGTTACAATCATTCCACTATCCTGAAAGCAGGATTCACGTAAATATCTAACCATCTCCTAGAAACACTAAACTAATCAATCCATCACCATCTGAATCTTCCTGAAAATCTCCTATGAGTAAAGGTTCTGCCACCTACACTTAAAAATTATAAATGGTAGCTCCTTGCGTACAAGGCTTTTTTTAAAATAAATTTACGTAGTGTTAAGCCATATTGACCAGTGTTTAATACTAGAAATAAAATTACCGAAAAAACACCTCCGTTCTCAATGCAGTTATCAGTGACTTTTCTGAGAAAGAAGCTATTTTTAGGGAAACATTTTTTTAAACTAATTCAGACTATTTTATTTATTTGCTTTAAACTCAACACTTAATTATTTTATCCTGTTGCAATAAAAAGGAAGGACGTTATCATGTTATCAGCTTTAAATTTACTGGCTTTCAATTGAGCTCATAGCTCACATACCTGTCTTTGCCTTTCCCTTACACTTCATGTAGTTTCACAATTATACAATTATACTTTACAGACTCTATTGCTTTTCTCTGCTTGTTGTCATGGAAAAATCTTACACAAATATCATGGGAAATCAATTCTATCAGAAGTAAAAACTTTATAAAAAGTATTTCCAGATGCATAAAGTACCTAAGTTTTGCTTGCTTATCATTAGAACAATAGAGAACAAAAAAAAAATCTTTGAAATTTAATCTATAGTTTTATTTTCAGGTTTAAAAGGGGAAAACTCAAAGCAGTTTACATGGTGTAAGAAAAAAAGAGTACAACCAGACACAAAACTAAAATACAAACTCTAATGAATCATGTCTAACAAAGCACAGAAACAATGCATGCTGAGGTTTGTGCACATAAGCTCCCTACCCTAAAGACATTATCATCCCTTTTGTCTGAGTCTCAACTGCAAAATCTCAAGGGAGTCACAAATATTTGTGCCACTGTAATCTCTTAGTTTCTTTTTTCATACAAATAAATATTAGATTACCTGCAGTGTTTGCCACTGCTATACTTAGCAAAGTTAGATGATTTACAATTTCGATGCACACCAGTGCAAAGCTGGATTTTTAGGTCCAATGGAATACTTGCACCATATATTTCTAGGCAGACAGATTGGTCCTTGCCTTGAAATCTTTACAGCCTAATGCTTGCAAATTCAGAAGATTTAGCAATCATGGGGGGAAAAAAGGGCTGAATGATCACACAGTCTATCCCACCTTCCTCAAGGCAAGATCTCCTAGGTAATCCTGACAGATATCTGTCTTGCCATGCTTAACTTACTTTCATGCAACTATTCAGGTATGTAGAAAGAGAAATGCACATACACACAAATCTTCAGATTCAACAGATGGAAGAATACAACACTGAATATCTACTGACTTTATTAGGATGCCATGGCAAGGTCCATCTGAAAAAAAATGGGATTACAGGAATATGGCCCAAAATACACAGTCTGAGAAATAAAATACGTTATTGTGCCAAGTATATATACAGATAAACAAACGCACATTAAAAACTAATGTTAGCTATGAAAGCTACTCTTTAACCTATTCTTTATCAACCAGCAAATCTATTTTAGATGCAATGTAGAGTCAAAGAACACATAATTTAGCAGCTTTCCCCCCCATTATTCTGTGCTCATGAATGCACAGTTTTAAGAGACTTCCACCCAAATCAATGAACTGCTTCATTAGTTTACTTCTCACCAAAAAAAGTAGGTTGCTTAATTAGTCATATTATAACACATATATAAAATAAAGGTATATTATACTTCACCATACATCACATCAAACTAAACCAACAAGACTGACTTTCTGCAGTGTGCGTGCTTTTTATATTGATTACCTCTTTGAAATAAAACAAAAAATCCAGCACACTGGTAGAAGTATACCTTCTTCAATGACTGTTATTCACAGTATCATGATACCTAATTAAGCTATAAATTCAGTAAAAACACATAATTACATAATAATGCCATTTCCTCATTTTGAAAAACTTTTCATTATTCAAGGCCCATTTTTGTCAAACATATCTCCCCAAAGTTTAAGACATTTTTAACACACATTAGTCTGGAAAGCCTTATTAAAAAGGGCTGCTAAGCATACTAAAGCACCCGAGAACCCCATAAGCACCATATGGTTGTGTCTGACAAAATATATAGGAGTGAACAAGTCTCCCACATTAGAATTACAGGTAAGTACAAGAGTATAAATATCACTGGTCTAACCAGGGCCTACCGACCAAGTCAACTACCGACGCTGCCAGAGGCTCCAGGTCTCCTTCTTCCTCCAAGCCCTACACTGCCTTCCTTGAGATAGAATCATAGAATATTGAGTTGGAAGGGACCGACAAGGATCATCGAGTCCAAGTGATTAGTTCATACGGGGATTGAACCCACGACCTTGGTGTTATTAGCACCAAGCTCTACCAAGATCTGTGAACTCTCCTCTGTCCCAGCCCAGAGGTGCGTACTACAAATATTAGAGCCCCTGCATTCAAAGGGCAATCCGAAATCTCCACCAGTTTTCCTTTCGCCCAACATCCAATCACCTTCCCCACTTCCTCCAAAATCCCGAGCCTGTTCCAGCACGCGCCCCTACACCCAGCAACATCACAGTCCACCGTCCCCCGAAACGCCTCTGCCCCAAACCCACAGCAACACTCACCCAGCAGCGTCCTTGCTCCCATCCCACCCGCACCCTAGCTCCACTTAGGCTCCCCTTCCCCATCAACGACCTCCATAATCCCCCGAATAACCGGTATCCCCTCAGCCACCCCCTACTCAGCACCCCCGGCCGCACCTCACGGTCCTTGAGGCCCAGGAGCAGCACCTCTTCCATAAGGGTGAGCCGCGTTTCCTTGGAGTCGCCCTTCTCGTCGTCTCCGGGCTCGTCCCGGCGGCCTCCACCCTCGGAGCCGCCTCCCGCCTCCCGATCCTTGTCGGCGGCGGCGCTGCGGGAGGCCTCTGTCCGGCGCTGCACCAGCCCGGAGCTACGCTGGGTCAAGGAAGTCATGGCTGGAGGCGGTGGAAGGTCAAAGACCCACCACAGGAAGAGGAGCTTGGCGACAGCTAGGGAGGGGAGAAGAAGGGACGGGAGCCACTCCTGCCTCCGTCTTAGCCGCAACGGGACAGTGGCCGGCCGAGGAGAATCATAGGGAGTGGGATTCGGCCGAAGCAGGAGAGGCGGAGGCAGTGGCGGTGGTAGCCGGCGTTCCTCACTTGATGAGGCCGAGCTGGCAGAGGTGGCTTCTCCTCCAATATGGCGGCGCGGGCTGATGTCAGCAGAGGATGTGGTAGCGGCAGGCGGGGGGGTACGACCGGAAAGCGCCGCGGACGGGAGGAGCCCTCCACTGGGCTGGAGCTGTCGACGGGACGCCCCAGGGATGCGGCCCCCTCAGCTTCAGGGAGTGCGGGCGCTGTTATTGACTGTTACTAACCGTTACCTGGGGCTGTGGAGGACAGTTAATCCAACGGTCTGGGCGGAGGGGAAGGGGGGCCGGACAGCCGGTGCCCGCCGTGGCATAACCCAGAGGCTGGGTAGTACACCCTCTTAAATGAATATTTTTTTCTTAAAAAGTGCTTTATTTACAATCTTATGTCTGCTGGATTTCACTTTTAGCCACAAGACCAAGTCTGATTGCTTGTGCAGACCCCCAGAAATAAATACATACATACATATATATATATAATTTCATTTTTTCATGGCTAGGCTTCACGAACGAAGATTTGGGAAGGGCTCTACCCACGTTTGTTGCAAGCGCATTGGTGGCTAAAAAGGCCAATACGAGATAGGCATGTCTGGTTGCAAATATATATATAAACTCAGTAACTAAACTCAGGTGAGCACACAGAGCTCTCAACAGTCTCGACTTTAAACCAAGTAAATTGAGTCCCTCAGCTCTGCTGTCAACAAGGCATCTTTTCAAACCTTGAGCCCTTTTGACTGTGGCATGCCAAAAACTCAAAACTACTTATCAAGGCTAAATGCCATATATGCTTCTAGGTAGCATATTTTATTAAAGTGCTTAAGATGGAAAGACTGCCTATACTTTTTAGTCTACAATTAGGGTATTGCATATAGATTTTTAAAAAATAATACATATAACATGTATCTAAGATATAAATAAACTATTTCTATAACTATATATATTTAGGTGCACTCTGTTTAACAAAAGCTCCAAGTCACTTTGTAAGTCACTCCATTATTTCCCGCATCCCCAATTCTTGCATAATTTGCTGATGTGACATGGTGATAATTCAGTATAGCTTCTTCAAGATTATTGATAAAAAAGTATAACAGACAGACAAAACTGATCCCCAGAGGATCTGAATCACTCGAACAAGTGTTTGCAGATTGTTCCTCTTCTGTGTTTGGAGACCTGCCAATTATTCACAGTTCACTTAGTGTGTGACACTGTGATTTTTTTATCTTTCTAGTTTTTTTAATTAAAATTTTTTGCTGTACCAGGTCAAATGCCAAAACAAAGCTTAAGGATATGACATCACTGTTATTTTTATCAAATAAGCATTTGCTCAGAGATACCACAATAGCATTACAAGATCTGTTTTCTGAAAATGTCTTTTCTGAGTAGTAATTTTACTCAAATCTTTATTAATTTAGTCCTATATGAGCCACTCAGATATTTTGCTGAGGATTACAATCAAGATGATAGTCATGTAATTAACCTGGTGTTGTAGTTTAACCCCAGCTGACAACAAGGCACCACACAGCCACTTGCTCACTCACACCACTGATGGGATGGGGGAAAGAACCAGAAGAGTAAAAGTGAGCAAACTCGTGGGTTGAGATAATGACAATCTGACAGGTAAAGCCAAAGCCACATGCCCAAGCAAAGCAAAACAAGGAATTCATTCACAATTTCCCATGGGCAGGCAGGTGTTCAGCCATCCCCAGGAAACCAAGGCTCCATCATGCGTAATGATTACTTGGGAAGACAAAATGCCATCAACTCCAAACATCCCTACACCTGTAGTGGGTTGACCTTGACTGGACACCAGGTGCCCACCCAGCTGCTCTATCCCAGACAGACAGGGGGGAGAGAATAAGATGAAAAATGGCCCATGGGTTGAGATAAGGCAGTTTATTAAAGTAAAAGCAAAAGTTTGCATGCGCGAAAGTGAAGCAAAGCAAAAGATAGCAAAGTTTATTCTCTACTTCCCATCAGCAGCAATGGCTGGCCATGTCCCTGGAAGCAGGGTTTCAGCAATGTGTAACGGTTTCTCAGCAGACAGAAGTTGTGAACAACGAATGCCTCCCCCTTCCTGCTCCTTTTCTTAGCTTTTATATCTGAGCTGATATCATATGGTATGGAATATCCTTTTGGTTAGTTTGGGTCAGCTGGCCTGCTTGTGTCCCGTCCCAGAATCTTGCCCTCGATTGGGAAGGAATGTTACAGTGCTGATGCTGTGCTCAGCAGTAGCCAAAACACTCGTGTGTAATCAACACCCTTCTAGCTGCCAATGCAAAGCACAGCACTGTGAGGGCTGCTATGGGGAAATGAACTACAGCTCAGCCAGACCCAATACATTCCCCCAGCTTTCTATGCTGATCATGACATCATATGGTGTAGGATATCCCTTTAGTCAGTTGGGGTCAGCTGTCCTGGCTGCGTCCCCTCCCAACATTGTGTGCACCCCTAGCCTACTTGATGGTGTGGTGGTGTGAGAAGCAGAAAAGGCCTTGACTCCATGTAAGCACTGCTCAGCAGTAACTAAAACATCCATGTGTTATCAAGTGTTTCTAACAACAATCCAAAATGTAGTCCCATATAAGATACCATAAAAAAATTTATCTCAGCAAAACCCAGCACATTCTACACCCCTTATCCCATACCATTTACATCCCACACTATCCAATACATCCTCATTAACTACCACTCTCCTTCCATCCTTTGATATAATACGCAGATATCATTGTCCTGGTTTGACCCTGGCTGGATGCCATGTGGCCACCAAAGCCGCTCTATCACTCCCCTCCTTAACTGGACAGGGGAGAGAAAATATAAGTATTACTATTAGAAAGTAAAAGCACTTTTTATTATGGCAGCCAGATGCACAGGAAATGTATTCCAAATTGTGCATGTTGAATTTCACAAGTTCCACAGCTTTATTGTGTCACCTAATTACAAATTCAGGTATTACCTCATCTGTCCCACCTACTTCCAAAACCATTCCACCCTTGACATGCCTCTCAAATTTGAGTCAGAGGTCCTGTAATGACCCCTGGTGCTCATCTCCTTCCTCTTCCTCAGCTTGACCTTTTCTTGACCCCTTGCCTTTGACACAGCATCATGTCTTATGGAATGGTTTCAAGGCCTACAACCAACTCCAACCAGTTTGCCAGTTTTGTTTCTCTTTCGGTTCCCTTTTATCAGTCCTGTTTCACAGATAGAGGAAACCCTCTTTCTTGTTAAAATTCCTGCCTGTTGAGACTCTTAACAAAGAATGATAAACTACATATTTTAGGCCACACTGGTGAACTATACAGTCACTAATAAGCTACATAGGTTTCTATGGCTACACTTTCTTCCCAGGCTTAACTTTATTCCCAAATTCTCTATCTCTTTCCCCCTCAGCCATGCAAGGGAACGGGGAATGGGAGTTGCGGTCAGTTCATCGCACTTTGTTTCTGCTGGCCCTTCCTCCTCAGGGGGAGGGCTCTTTGTAATCTTCCCCTGCTCCAGTGTGGGATCCCTCCTACAGGAGACAGTTCTACACGAATTTTTCCAACATGAGTCCTTCCCATGGGCTGCAGTTCTTCACTAACTGCTCCAGCATGACCGCCTTCCACAGGGTGCAGTCCTTCAGGAACAGACTGCTCCAGTGTGGGTCCTTTCCATGAGATACAGTCCTTCAGGAACAGACTGCTCTAGTGTGGATCTCCCATGTGGTCACAAGTCCTGCCCAGCAAATCTGCTCCAGCTTGGGCTCCTCTCTCCATGGGTCCATAGGTCTTGCCAGGAGCCTGCTTCAGCACAGGCTTCCCATGGGGTCACAGCCACTTTTGGGCATCCACCTGCTCCAGCATGCTGCAGGTAGATTTCTGCTCTACCATTGACCTCTATGGGCTGCAGGAGGACAGCCTACCTCACCACGGTCTTCACCATGGGCTGCAGGGGAATCTCTGCTCTGGTACCTGGAGCACCTCCTCCCTCTCCCTCTGCAGAGTTTTCTCTCACATATTCTCGCTCCTCTCTTCTCTGGCTGAAATTGCTTCTGCACGGTAACTTTCTCCCCTTCTTAAATACATTATCCCAAAGGTGCTACCACTGTTGCTTATTGTTTCAGCCTTGGCCAGCGGCAGGTCCATCTTGGAGACAGCTGGCACTGGCTCTGTCAGACATGGGGGAAGCTTCTAGCAGCTTCTCATCCCTGTAGCCCCTCCACTACCAAAACCTTGCCATGCAAAAACAATGCACATTCCATCAGTCTATGGACCACCCCTGTAAAATTGCCATAAAATGTCTATTGAGTTCATTTAGTCCATGACTTTGGGCTCCATCTGCTATGGTGGTCACTCAGGACAGGAGAGGTGGTGTGTTGCATGGAGTTATTGGGCACCACCTCCAGCTCAGGTCAGGTCACTGCTGCACTTGCTCTGCTTCTTGTAAGGCTTCTCCTCCATTGGTTTGGGTGATTCCTGTTATAGTAATGATGAATTCCTGTAACATGCAACTCAAATCCCAGGTTACAACAATTCAAAGGTATATCCAATAATGTCCACCCCTGGTCCCCTTTGAACCAGACTATAGGGTTTAATATTGCAATGAACTACTCCCCTTGTCCCTGCTACATCTTGAACATTCTCAGACTGTAGTTTCTTAGGGGACTACCTACTCCAAGTGGAGCCTTATCTATGAGCCACAGTCCCTTCAGGAGTATACTTGCTCTGTTGTGGGGTTATGCATTGCCACATGCTTTGAGGTGCTCCAGCATGAACTTATCCACAGCCACAGATGCTTCAAGGTGTACCTTTTCTGGCATGGACTTATCCTTGGGCCACAATTCCTTCAGAGGTATACCTGCTGTGACAGAGACATAACCATGGCCACAGATGCATCAAGATGCACCTGCTCTGGCACGGGCTCATACACAGCCACAGATGCATTGTGGTATCCTGCTCTCATGTGGACTCATGGGCAGGTCACAGTCCCTTCAACTCGTTCACACTGGAGTTCTAGCCTGTCCAGTACAGCAGCACAGAAACAGCAGCAACACCCTGACTATCTGCCAGCCCAGGCACATCACCATGGCTGTTATCAAAATGTTCTCAGGCACAGCAGAGTAAGGTGATAAGCAGTTCAGTAGTACAGCAAGCAGTGAAAGCAAAAAGCAGCCACTAACGAGCACTAGAGTCTAATATGCAGTCAGGCAAGCAAGCCCATGGCAAGCACAGGAGCCTTTCAATTAATAGCTAAACAGCAATAACAGCTATAAATTCAATCTAACACATTCCAGTCAAATCTGTCATTATCTTGAACAACAGGCTGGAGAACTTCTCCTGTGAAGACAGGTTGAGAGAGTTGGGGTTGTTTGGTCTGGAGAAGAGAAGGCTCCAGGGAGACATTTTAGCACCTTCCCATACCTAAAGGGGGCCTACAAGAAGGCTGGAGAGGGACTTTTTACAAGGGCATGTAGTGATAGGACAAGGGGAAATGGCCTTAAGCTGAAGGAGGGTAGGTTTAAATTAGATATTAGGAAGAAATTCTTTGCTGTGAGGGTGGTGAAGCACTGGAATAGGTTGTCCAGAGAGGTTGTGGACTCCCCATCCTTGGAGGTGTTCAAGGTCAGGCTAGTGGAAGGTGTCCCTGCCCATGGCAGGGGGATTGTAACTAGATGATCTTTAAGGTTCCTTCCAATCCAAACCATTCTATGATTCTATGAACCCTTCAGATCCCACCTTGGGCACCAAAAAGGACTGTCATGCTTGAACTCCAGCTGACAACTAAGCACCACACAGCCATTCACTCACTCCCTCCCCCGGTGATATGGGGGAAAGAATCAGAAGAGTAAAAGCTAGAAAACTTATGGGTTGAGATAAAGGCAGTTTAATAGTTGAAGCAAAAGTCACATGCACAAACAAAACAAGGAATTCATTCACTACTTCCCATGGGCAAGCATGTGTTTGGCCATCTCCAGGAAATCAGGGCTCCGTCACGCGTAATGGTTACTTGGGAAGACAAAACATCATTCCGAAGGTCTCCTTCTTCCCCCAGCTTTCTATGAGGATCATCATATGGTATGGGATATCTCCTTGATCACTTAGGATCAGCTGTCTCAGCTGTGTCCCCTCCCAACTTTGTGTGCATCCACAGCCTATTCCCTGGTGGTGGTGGTGTGAGAAGCAGAAAAGGCCTTGACTCTACATGAGCAGTGCTCAGCAGTAGCTAAAACATCCCTGCATTATCAACACTGTTTTCAGCAAAACACAGCCCCATAATAGCTGCTATGAAGAAAATTAACTCTATCCCAGCCAAAACCAGCACAGACTGCTCACTCAGCAACAAAGCAGTCCCACAGGCACTGCCATTTTTCTGTTTTGACCTGTATTCCAGATACTGCTGTTGACTGAAAAGCAGAAAGCTTGAGAATATTGCCCTGTGAACATTTCCCCATAGGGTTAAAAAAAGCCAAATGTGGATTGATTTTCTTTGGGTTAATTCTGCACTGGATTATATATGTGCAACACTATTTGTCTTCAGTATTGTAAAATGATATTATCACTCGATCATGTCTATGATGTGATGGCTTTTAAAGAGATCTCACTGGATGTCACTTTACCATTCATGCAAACATTAATTAATACATTTGATGCTGAAGAGATGATATTCAAACAGAAATCTCTTCACAGGGGATTTGCAAGGAATTTTTGAATGAAATCTACACTGTAGACCACATTCTTAGTTCAAATTAAAGTAATAATTTAAATTGTTGGGACAAAGGACACTTAGGACATATTACCTGTATAGTATAGATTTATAAGCATTTTAGCATCAAACATGACATAGGCTAGCCAGCTATTTAAAAACATATTGCTGTCCAGTTGTATAAGTATGTTTTCATAAGTACCAGTTGCATTGTTTAAGAGTTCATTAATGATCTATAAATATGTATGAACTCCTGCTATGTACTTGTTTAGCACCAAGCACAAGACTATGTGCACATGACTAAGATGTATAATACCTAACCATGAGACACAAGGGTATATGACTGTAGAGTGTCTCCAGGTTTTAATAGTAGTATTTGTAGCAATCACAGTGGATTCAAGCAGAGCAGAAATCTGACTAGTAATCAGGAACTATCTGAAAACTCACAACTAAACAATAATTTTGCAATCAGCCTTGTACATCTACAGCATGCTCATATTTTTTGCCATTTAGTGGCTTTTTTTTTCTCCCTGATAACTAGATTGAGGAAGAAGAAAGGGGATTTGGGGCTTCAATAATTAATCCAAAAAAGAGCTAAAAACCAGCACAATAAATACAAAATATAGCTGGAAAAATGATATGGCTTTTTTTCTTAGGGATTTGTAGTGGGTTGACCCTGGTTGGATGCCAGGTACTCACTAAAGCTGCTCTCTCACTCCCCTCTGCAACTGGACATAGGAGAGAAAATACAATAAAGGATTCATGAGTTGAGATAAGGACCAGGAGGGATCACTTACTGATCACCATCACAGACAAAACAGACTCAAAGTGGGGATATTAACTAAATTTATTACTAACAGGATCAGAGCAGGAGAGTGAGAAGTAAAATAATCTTAAAAACACCTTCCCCCCCAGCCCTCCTTCCTTCCAAATTCTACCTCCTCCCCCCCAGTGGCGCAGGGAGATGGGGAGTGAGGGTTAGAGTCAGTTGTTTTTTCTGCCGCTGCTCAGGGAGAGGATTCCTTCCCCTGCTCCCCGTGGGAGCACAGTCCCATGGGAGACAGTCCTTCGTGAACTCCTCTGGTATGAGTCCATCCCATGGGAGACAGTTCTTCACAAGCTGCTGACACATGGGTCACTTTTCCATGGGGTGCAGTCCTTCAGGGATAGGCTGCTCCAGCATGGGTCCTGCACAGGGCCACAAGTCCTACCAGAAAAACCTGCTCCAATGTGGGGTCCTCTCTCCATGGATCAGAAGGTCCCTGCAGGGACCCTGCTCCAGCATGGGCCTCCCACGGGGTCACAGCCTCCTTCAGGCATCCACCTGCTCCGTCATGGGTTCCTCCATGGGCTGCAGGTGGATCTCTGCACTCCTGTGGTCCTCCATGGACTGCAGGAGGACAGCCTGCTTCACCATGGTCTTCACCACGGGCTGCAGGGGAACCTCAGCTCTGGCATCGGGAGCACCTCCTCCCTCTCCTTCTCCACTGATCTTGGTGTCTGTAGAGTTGTTCATGTGTTCTCACTCCGCTCTTCTCTGGCTGCAATTTTCATCTGCGCAATAACTTTCTTTCCCTTCTTAAATATGTTATCACAGAGGTGTTACTATCATTGCTGATTTGCTTGGCCTTGTCCAGTGGCCATCCTGGAGCTGGCTGGCATTGGCTCTGCTGAACATGGGGAAAGCTTCTAGCAGCTTCTAACAGAAGCCACCCCTGTAGCCACCCTGCTACCAAAACTTGGCCACAAAAACTCAGTACAGAGGACAGGAGTTTGAGGATTAAAATAAGTTTACTTATAGAATATTAGAAATTTATTGTGTGATTCCTTAGGGTTAAGTTGAATTGTAACTTGCTTACAGCTTAGTATTAGTGGGCCCGGCTCAAAACTTAGAGCAGATGAACTTTAAATTAATTCTGTTCATTAGCATGAATGGCTAAGTAGGGGTTCTGCCTAAAATTGGCTCTTAAAAGAAGCATCTAAGTCAAAATTTGTGAGTTTTAGAAGCCAGGCATTCTTTATTACAACGTACTGCATGGTCACAGCACACTGGGTTGCCCTGGGAATCAGTTCACCAAAGTGCACACAGAGGTATCTTTGCTACAACTTATATGTCAGCATTACATAATTATGCATTTTTTGTTCCCCACATTCCTGTTACATATTCATGACATTTCCGAACACTTATTAGCATATAGACATATCCTTATAAGGTCTCTGAGGGGCTTTACTGAGGGTCTTTGCTGGTCTTCTCTGTCTTGAGCCCCCAAAGTTCTGAGTGACTGCCTTATGACCTTTTTAAGACAATACCCCTGGTTATAGAGTAACTTGGTGTTGCTTGGCTGGCTGCCTCAGTTCCCTTCTTCATTGTTTCTTTACTTTGCTTGGTTAGTCCTTTTAAATCACTTGGCTCAGCTATATGGAGTTTCTATGGTGCATTCCGCTACAAAAACTATTACTTCTTGTTACATCTCTAAACCCCAATATCAGAGTGGAAATAGAGAAAGGCTGGATTCACTTATACCACCAGATAAGAGGACTCAAGGGAAAAGACCTTCAAGAACAGGTAACAGATAAGGGATGTGACTTTGGTATAGATAAGGCAGAGGATAAACATAAGTCAAGCCTGTTACTGAGCTACACAAAAAGGGCCCCAAGGCTGGCCCAAGCTAGAAAATAAGAAAGGAGACAGCCTACCTGGAGACACGGAAGGAGTCTGGTGAGGAACAAGAAGAATCCAACCCCTGAAACACCACTGGACCAACTGTTGTGTGGACAGTGCATGAAAAGGGAACTCTTAGTAAATTCACGTGCGACCCTAAGTTGGGTGCTGGAGGGTAGGGAGGCTCTGCAGAGGGATCTGGACAGGCTGAATAGATGGGCTGAGACCAACGGTACAAGGTTCAACAAGGCCAAGTGTCAGGTCCTACACTTTGGCCACAACAACCCCATGCAGGCTGGGAGAAGAGTGATTGGAAAGTGGCCCAGCAGAGACGGACCTGGGAGTGCTAGTCGACAGCTGGCTGAACATGAGCCAGCAGTGTGCCCAGGTGGCCAAGAAGGCCAGTGGCATCCTGGCTTGTATCAGAAATAGTGTGGTCAGCAGGACTAGGGAAATTTACTGTACTCAGAACTGGTGAGGCCACATCTTGAGTACTGTGTCCAGCCCTGGGCCTCTCAGTTCAGGAAGGGCATTGAGATGTTGGAATGAGTTCAGAGAAGGGCAATGAAGCTGGTGAAGGATCTGGAGCACAAGTCTTATGAGGATTGGCTGCAGGAGCTGGGATTGTTTAGCCTAGAGACAAGGAGGCTCAGGGGTGACCTTCTCACTCTCTACAACTACCTGAAAGGAGGTTGTAGCCAGGTGGGGGTCAGCCTCTTCTCCCAGGCAACTATCGATAGGACAAGAGGACATAGCCTCAAGCTGCGCCGGGGAGGTTTAGATTGGACATTAGGAAAGAAGTTCTTCACAGAAAGGGTGATTGGGCATTGGAATGGGCTGTCCAGGGAGGTGTTGGAGTCACCGTCCCTGGAGGTGTTTAAGGAAAGACTAGATGTGGCACTTAGTGCCATGGTCTGGTTGACATGGTGGTGTTCGGTCATAGGTTGGACTCAATGATCTCAGAGGTCTTTTACAACCTAAATGATTCTGTGATTCTGTGGGTATAATTGCCCAAGGATTTATTTGTTCTGGGTCAGTTGCAGAGGGCTCCAGCTCGAGCTGAAATAAACTGACTCTGCCTCAGAACTTGGGGTCCAAACTCTTTACAGTTGGGGGCTAATATCGGCGGAGAGGCACGGACAGATCACTCACAGACCAATTTGGTCGGCAAAATGTCGGCTTTATTAGAAGAAAGACACCTTATATACTGTATATTACGCTCAGACGTGTGATTCTTCTTCACACAACATTGGATACATAAGGAAAACATACTTTGTTGTCCGGTGCTAATTGGACCACAACAGGTGTCCATAGGAGATGAGAAAACTTGTTCACCTGCCAAAAACTCCTCCTTGACCTTGGCAAAAAGCCTCCTTTGTTCTAGCTTCAACGCCTGTAGCCATATTTAGCTACGCAGTTCTTTTTTACTGTCTGCACCCAGCCATGCCAAGGCAAGGCTCACAGAAATGCAATAGAAATTGTTCACATATAATCTCTATTCTCCAACAGGCTAAGACTGGATCCAGCCTCACCTAGGCTCCATCTTGTGAGGGAGTTTAGGAAGCAAGGGGGTCCAGTCTGAACCTTGCAACTCAGCAAGAGCATCTTTTCTCTTTGTTATAGTTTCATTTTTTTTTATTTTTTGGTGAATTTTCCTCACCAACAGTCTTTGCTAGGGTGAGATAAACATCAATTTTCATTGCTTGTCTAGCTGGGCCTTAATGACTGTCCTATTGAAACGTTAAATAACCTCAGCACACCAGCTAAATTGCTTAAGGGAAACCCCATCACCCCCTGTAGCCACGGCTGAGGGGCCGGCCCAGGTGAGAGGTGGGGTGGGGAGCATTGGGCAGTGAGCCTGTTAGACTGGGGGGGTGAACTTTACTCCACTTCTGCCCTGCTTCTTTGGTGGGGTGAAGGGAGACCTCAGTTTTCCACCAGTGCTGATTTCCATCCCCCTCTGGTTCCATTGCCTTCGGCACTCAGTAGTTGCTTTGCTGAGACTCATCGTAGTTTAGGAGGGGTCCCGGCTCGTCCCCCTACCACTGGCGCCCTGTGACGGCTTTCTCTGCGGACTGCCACGACTGCCTGGGTGCCTTTCGGAGCTGCCGAGGATCAGAGGAGCTCCTGTTTGTCCCCCGGTGAAAGAGTCCCTACGGTGCTCGGGGCAGGGGGTCCCACACCACCTCTGTGTTCACAGAGGATGCCATTGCCTCGTGGAGCTTTTGGGTCTCCCTGTTCTTTGCTGGATGGACCGGCACCTCGGTCCCTTGCCAGCCACCGCCTCCATAACCAAGGGGAGGGGGCCCAGGACTGTCTGGAGCGAGCACTCTCGGAGACGGCCTGCCAGGAGGGAGTTCCCTTCGTGCCGTGTGGGGAGCTCTGTTTTGCATGGAGGGAGTTTCCTTTTTGCCGTTTGGGGAGCCCTGTTTTCCAGCAGACCCCAGGAACAGCCCGCAGGCACCCCCTGCTGGTTGAAAGGGAGTCACTGCAGCCCTCGCATTTTCGTCAGAGCTCAACAGTGCCATCTGGTGACCGTGAGTGAGTCACTGCAGACCTTGCCTCCGGAGGCTCACCACCACCTCGCTGGGTGTGGTTATAACTGCGCCGAAAGACAAAGAATACTTAATTGGTTTCGGTGAAAGTTTCGGTTATGGAATTGTTGCTTGTTCTGTTGTGTTACATATATATATACATAGTAAAGAGCTGTTATTTGTTGGGGTTGACAGCAAGCCTGTCAGTAGCCTGGCATTTATCGACAAAGCAGTGGACATAAACCGGATTACAGTATACTCCTGAAAGGAGGAGAACACAGCATGCAGAAGAATGTGGGCAACTTTCAGACAGGAAGAAGATGGAAGACAGAAATGGACTTCCTGTACTTTTTACAAGTCAGGATGACTCGACAAAAACTGTGTTTACTAGTTTGCAACCAATCCTGGTGTGTATACATAAAAGTACCAATGGCAGGTTGACATGTGTATGGCCTGATTGCCTGATCTATGTATACCAATAGAAAGTGATATGTGTATGGCCTGATCTATGAAGGCACCAACAGAAGGTTAATGTGTGATGCATGAAAAGTATAAATGTTTGCAACCTATTACAATAAAGTGATTATAGCCTTCTTGTAATCCTATCCCTGCTTTGAAAGAAGATTCTATGTCTCATTGGTCGTCCCTGACTCTAACAGCGACAGTTATTTTCTTTTCCACACCTTTTTGACTGAAGGCTCTTTATTTCTAAGTTATAATAACTCAGAGGGAGGAGTTTGGTTTTTCTTCTATCCTGTCCTCCTTTAGCAAACACTTTTGTCTCATTAAACTAAGACACTCTCCTTCTGTTAATAAATAGAGACTCAGATGGGATCCTAGGACTGGTCTCTGGATCCTCTCAACTCCAAACGTCCGTAGTGCTGGCAGACAGGGGAGTTCACCTAGGACCTTTGGAGTGGGAGGCCGCATAGACAAATAGTTTAAATTTTGACACAGAGGCTGTTGGGAGGCAGGTTCAAGTTTTGCACTCCAAGGAAGCAGGCTTGAGTCCTGCAATCCAAGTAGGCAGGTTTGAGTCCTGCGTTACACCATTTTGAATGAGAAAGAGTTCTCAGAATCTCTAAGAGAGGTTCGAGTCCTCTGGAAAAAAGGTACCTATATTTTGGTAAAAAGGGAATTCAGGGTTCAGGTCCCTAAAATAAGGTAAAAATGGGGAATGTGGCTGGAGTAGAGAATGTGACACCCTTGGCCGAAGTTCTCCAGAACTGGGAGAACTCCAGAACTATGGTGGTTTGACCCTGGCTGGATGTCAGTTGCCCACCAAAGCCTCTCTATTACTCCCTTCCTCAGCTGGGCAGGAGAGAGAAAATATAACAAAAGGCTCATAAGCTGAGATAAGGGCAGGGAGACATCACTCACCAATTACTGTCACAGGCAAAACAGACTCAACTTGGGGAAATAAATTGGATTTATTACCAATCAAAATCCAAGTAGGATAATGAAAAGTAAACCAAATGTTAAAAACACCTTCCCCCCCCCCCCCCCCCTCCTTCCTGGGCTTAACTTTTTTCATGATTCTCTACCTCCTCCATCCAAGGATCACAGGGAGATGGGGAATTGGGATTACGGTCAGTAATGGTCACATGTTTCAGCCACTGCTTCCTCCTCAGGGAGAGGACTCCTTCCCCTGATCCAGCGTGGGGTCCCTCCTGTGGGAGACAGTCCTCCACAAACTTCTCCAATGTGAGTCACAGAATCATAGAACTGTTACGGTTGGAAGGGACCTCTGGAGAGCATCTAGTCTTCCCCCCCCCGCCAAGGCAGGGTCACCTAGAACAGATGTCCTGGTTCCAGCCAGGACAGGGTTAATTTTTGCAGTAGCCAGGAGGGGGCTTGGCTAGGACACAGAGGTTATTCTATATCACCTCACGTCATTTTCCGGGGACAGGGGAAGAGCTCTCGTCCATGTTGACATAGCATGGCGGAGGCAGCAGTCAGGTATTGTCGGGGGGGGGTTCCATGTGAATCATTCACCTTTCTTCGTTTGCCTCCTCTTGACCCTCTGTCATTAGTATTGTTACTGTTACTGTTCATTTTCTTATCTCATTGCTGTTTCCAGTAACTTGTTATTATCTCAACCCCTGATATTTACTTTTTGTGCCTCCAATTCTCCTCTCCATCCTGCCATGGGGAGGAGTGGTAGGGGGGAGTGAGTGAGCTGCTCGTGGTTTGGAGAGTCTCAATGGGAGCACTAAATTGGGGAGTACCATTCCTAAACCACAACAGCAGGTTACACGGGAATGCGTCCAG